ATCCTTTTCCTTATCCTTCAGCTGTTCTGTCTCTGCCTGCCTTGGTTTTATACCCTTTTTTTTTTTTTTTTTTTTTTTTTGGCTGTCTTGCTATTATACTGTTTCCTGTGCTTCCACTTGCGTTTACATCCTCACACCTGCTATCACACAGGAATTCTGTTGAAGCCTTGAAGGGGGGATTTGCGACGCCAGCCTTCTGTCCATCATATTTGGTTGTCAGATGCTGCCATTTTTAAGGTTGGTGAAACCTTCGTTGTTTATCTGAGGTGTTGTTGTCGTCTTTTATTTGTTTTTTTACCTGTTTTCTTTGTGCAACGCAGAAAACCATCGCCTTTGATGGCGATCTATTGGACAACAGCAGAGAGTCTCTTGAAACCCTGGTGTGTATGGGACAGTCACTTGGCTGTACACCATCTTTCTTGGCCCAAAGGCAGCTATCGCGCCGTATGTCCATTGTGAGCGTTGAAGATGGCAGCAAAGAGAAGTGCAAGGAGAGCGTAAATCTTGTAATGACTCATCGCTTCGCCGAGAGGGATGGTCCTGCAGAGGACGGACAACAGGACAACGATTCGGCATCGTCGACATCGGAAAGCGAGGAAGATCCATATCAGGAAGGTGCATCGAATGTAGATAACAATCAATGAAAAGCTTGAGCACGGATATATGATCGCCAGATCGCCAGATCCCTCAACCACTCAGCCTAATCTCCATAATTTCCGATCGTCAGATCAGATTAGTTTGTCACCTCACTCAATCTCCTGGCTTAGAGCTCACGACGGCATTTTATCGACATTCGATTCCCTTATCACATTTCAAACAATAAATATTAAGATGGCAGCAAAGAGGAGGGCAAGGGGAGCATAAAAATCTCTTGTGACGACTCAAGACTCAAGAGGCTCTTCTCCCAGAGGAAGGGTCCTGCAAACGACAGAGAGAGGACAGGAGGACAATCCGGCAAACGTCATCTCGCCTCACAACACATGTCGAAGATCTGCCGAATGCCGGTGGCAACAAACACAAAGCTTGAGCAAGGACATATCATCATCATCATCATCAGATCTGTTGCTCACTCAACCTAATCTCCATAAGTTCTTTTTCTTTTTGCAAAAGTGCGATGCGCCGATGGCCTTGATATATCATCATCGTCAAACTGACCAGCCCCAGAGTCACTCTTCTGTTCATCTCCTTATTGCTTCTGGATGCGAATTTGGGTCCGTATTTCAACACTTCAGGGGTGTACTAACTGAGCTAGGCCCTTTGGTAATCTCCATAAGTTCTGGCCGTCCGATCAAATCCGATTGGTTCCTTTCCTCTCTCGATCTCTCTCTTTGCTTAGAATTTATTTTGCGCCGACGTATCATTATCAGATTCCTTAATCGCTTTCCGGCCAATAACGGCAGCATGCCATTGTCTGCCGAATAAGCTTAGAATCCGATAACGGCAGCATGCCATTGTCTGCCGTAATGCTCCCTTCTTGGAAACTGAACCCCATTTTTGGGTGAACTTAACTTTACTTCAATGTTCAATCTATCATGAAGACAATTAGTGTATTTACTATTTACCACGGTAATGAAGATAAGGTCAATACCATGTATAGGAAATACACAAAAGGTTATTTGACGTTATATTTCCATTCACATCAATCACTGGTTCTCAGTTAGAGTTTGGTTGAAATCGTCATGTGGCTTTGGTTTTGAACTTTTGAATCTTTTGATGCCATGCTTGCTGCATGGCCCTGACAGCGAGGGGTTCAGTCGCAAGACTCGCAAGTCGTGCACGAGGTGTTTTACCAACGTCGACGTCATCCTTCTTTTTTGAATCTTCTCCATGGTGAGAGCAAGAGAGAGCGTGAAGATTGCAGGGTAGAAGACGGCCTTCTTTTTCAACGTTCTTTTACGTTTTTGCAGAGAAGGACACTACGTAATCTTCTGTGGTGTTACTCAGGCGCGCGCGCGCGAGAGAGAGAGAGAGAGAGAGAGAGAGAGAGAGAGAGAGAGAGAGAGAGAGAGAGAGAGAGAGAGAGAGAGAGAGAGAGAGTCTATGACATTGGGCGTTTGCCCCGACTTGGACATTGCGTTGGACAGAGGCGTTTGGGTACTATTGGTGGAGACTATTCATTCATGGGACTATTGATAAAGCCAATTCATTCGTGGGATTATTGAGTTGATGTTTCCCACTTCTCTCTCCCACTTCGTCTCTTCCTCACTACCCTTGTCTCTGGATTTACATTCGGCATGGCAGTTCTCTTTGTGTATGTGCTTCCACGCCGCTGATGTGTGCTTGAGGGTGGATGCATGTGTGGTCAGTCCGCAGTCATGATGAGTCAGATCTGGGTATGTAAGTGTTCCGGTTCTTTGTTATTGGTTTCTCTTCTTCGGTTGGTTCTTGGGTTCTGCGCCATGCCCCACTGATGGTTCTGGGCATGCGAAATAGCACTACCCTCGGAGTCTTCCTTGTAGGTGCCAACCCCAACTGGGGCCTTCCAGGTGCAGCGCCAACCAAGAAGATGAAGGTGCAGACCACCACAGCCAGATAAGCTCCCCCGTCACTCTCCTCCTTGCTCACCAGCATCTTTCTCCTCCTACTACTACTCTCCTGGAGTCTCCTCCTTGGTCCTCTCCACCATAGCGGATGTGGAGGGCCAAGCCCACCTTCTTCCTACCTTGCGCTGCTTGGCTGAGTGCTCGCTCCAGCAGCCGTTCACCGAACATGCACCGCTGCAAATGAGGAAAAGTTCTTCGTTGCTTCCCTTGATATACCGGACTAGTGCCTCTTCGCTCGGTCACTCCCAGGCCACGCGGCCTCCAAGTCTAGGCGGTACCTCTGCTACTTGGAGGGAAATATCATTGCAGTCTGATATCCCGTCCTGCATGCTTTAGACTCAGGCTACTTGGACCGGTATCTTTTTTTTTTTTTTTTTTTTTTTTTTTTGAGAGAGAGAGAGAGAGAAGAATGTAGCTTAGGTTAAAAAGTAGAAAATAAAAAAATGCAGGCAGATGCAATCTGGGCCTCACATGAGACAGCGATGCGACTGGCTACGCCCCCTTTGAGCAATTTCTCCGGTTTTCATGGTAAGGGCAGGTTTTCGGGAGGCAAGGGGGCGGTTTCTAAAGCTGGGAATCCTGAGCACGGTCCCAAAGTCTCCGCAGGACAAGAAAAAGATGCCCATGTATGACTACCTGGATAAGGACATTACTTTCAGGCCGTGCTCCCTGAATCTGCAAAACCCTCTTCCCTAATATCAATCATTAGCGGAAACCTGCTAACAGAGCCAGAACATGCCCTTCAGCAGTTCCACAACCCTTTTCTCTAACCCTACCGGACTCTAAATTCTACTTCCGCCTCCAAGGAAGGTAACAACTTTTTTCAAGTTTTTGGCTTATCCTGCCTACCTACCCGCTACTTGAGTGTTTTGGCCTTCGCAGACCTTTTCGTACACTACTACCCCACTGCGCCCTCACAACGACACGGCCACAGGTAAGCACCAGGCACGTGGTCCTTCTCAGCGCACACAAGTACCCCAGCGGGCCACACACACACTCATCACCCATGCAATCATGCAGTTAGGCAAACCCACGGAAACTCAGCAATCACGCACACTCACGAAGTTAGAAATCTCTGCCTTTTGGCTAAGTAAGATCGAGTGTAGTATCTGTTCTGATCAGTTTAATATCTGATCCGTGCTCCATCGGGCCACAAAAAAAAAAAAAAAATAATAATAAAAAATGAAGAGACATTTCCGCAGAATACGGGGATCTAAGCAAGTCACTCAAAGAAGCGACAAAACTCAGAAAACAGCAGGTTTCACAGCAGGTTTGCGATTTTGCAGGTCATTACATTATTTAAATGTTTGCTTTCCTGCCCGTCCACCTTCCTATCCTCTTTGGGGACAACCCATTCTGTATGCTCTTCTCTTCTGCGGCCTTGCACATTTTCAAGAACAAGTCTAAGGTCATACTGACTATAGGACTTCTCTGAATGCATCTTAATGCAATTGCAGCCAGACGTGGATATGGATCTGACTGCCATCGCGTCCAGATTAGTAGAAAAAGTATCGTCTTCTCTTTTCCAACCTTTCACATTTTCAAGCACATCTCAGGCCATGCTCACACTAGGACTTCTCTAAGTGCAATGCGTCCGGATTAGTAGAAGAAAGTCCTAGTGTGAGTTATGCCCACTGTGAGACGACATTTCCGGCTATCCTTTTCCTTATCCTTCAGCTGTTCTGTCTCTGCCTGCCTTGGTTTTATACCCTTTTTTTTTTTTTTTTTTTTTTTTTGGCTGTCTTGCTATTATACTGTTTCCTGTGCTTCCACTTGCGTTTACATCCTCACACCTGCTATCACACAGGAATTCTGTTGAAGCCTTGAAGGGGGGATTTGCGACGCCAGCCTTCTGTCCATCATATTTGGTTGTCAGATGCTGCCATTTTTAAGGTTGGTGAAACCTTCGTTGTTTATCTGAGGTGTTGTTGTCGTCTTTTATTTGTTTTTTTACCTGTTTTCTTTGTGCAACGCAGAAAACCATCGCCTTTGATGGCGATCTATTGGACAACAGCAGAGAGTCTCTTGAAACCCTGGTGTGTATGGGACAGTCACTTGGCTGTACACCATCTTTCTTGGCCCAAAGGCAGCTATCGCGCCGTATGTCCATTGTGAGCGTTGAAGATGGCAGCAAAGAGAAGTGCAAGGAGAGCGTAAATCTTGTAATGACTCATCGCTTCGCCGAGAGGGATGGTCCTGCAGAGGACGGACAACAGGACAACGATTCGGCATCGTCGACATCGGAAAGCGAGGAAGATCCATATCAGGAAGGTGCATCGAATGTAGATAACAATCAATGAAAAGCTTGAGCACGGATATATGATCGCCAGATCGCCAGATCCCTCAACCACTCAGCCTAATCTCCATAATTTCCGATCGTCAGATCAGATTAGTTTGTCACCTCACTCAATCTCCTGGCTTAGAGCTCACGACGGCATTTTATCGACATTCGATTCCCTTATCACATTTCAAACAATAAATATTAAGATGGCAGCAAAGAGGAGGGCAAGGGGAGCATAAAAATCTCTTGTGACGACTCAAGACTCAAGAGGCTCTTCTCCCAGAGGAAGGGTCCTGCAAACGACAGAGAGAGGACAGGAGGACAATCCGGCAAACGTCATCTCGCCTCACAACACATGTCGAAGATCTGCCGAATGCCGGTGGCAACAAACACAAAGCTTGAGCAAGGACATATCATCATCATCATCATCAGATCTGTTGCTCACTCAACCTAATCTCCATAAGTTCTTTTTCTTTTTGCAAAAGTGCGATGCGCCGATGGCCTTGATATATCATCATCGTCAAACTGACCAGCCCCAGAGTCACTCTTCTGTTCATCTCCTTATTGCTTCTGGATGCGAATTTGGGTCCGTATTTCAACACTTCAGGGGTGTACTAACTGAGCTAGGCCCTTTGGTAATCTCCATAAGTTCTGGCCGTCCGATCAAATCCGATTGGTTCCTTTCCTCTCTCGATCTCTCTCTTTGCTTAGAATTTATTTTGCGCCGACGTATCATTATCAGATTCCTTAATCGCTTTCCGGCCAATAACGGCAGCATGCCATTGTCTGCCGAATAAGCTTAGAATCCGATAACGGCAGCATGCCATTGTCTGCCGTAATGCTCCCTTCTTGGAAACTGAACCCCATTTTTGGGTGAACTTAACTTTACTTCAATGTTCAATCTATCATGAAGACAATTAGTGTATTTACTATTTACCACGGTAATGAAGATAAGGTCAATACCATGTATAGGAAATACACAAAAGGTTATTTGACGTTATATTTCCATTCACATCAATCACTGGTTCTCAGTTAGAGTTTGGTTGAAATCGTCATGTGGCTTTGGTTTTGAACTTTTGAATCTTTTGATGCCATGCTTGCTGCATGGCCCTGACAGCGAGGGGTTCAGTCGCAAGACTCGCAAGTCGTGCACGAGGTGTTTTACCAACGTCGACGTCATCCTTCTTTTTTGAATCTTCTCCATGGTGAGAGCAAGAGAGAGCGTGAAGATTGCAGGGTAGAAGACGGCCTTCTTTTTCAACGTTCTTTTACGTTTTTGCAGAGAAGGACACTACGTAATCTTCTGTGGTGTTACTCAGGCGCGCGCGCGCGAGAGAGAGAGAGAGAGAGAGAGAGAGAGAGAGAGAGAGAGAGAGAGAGAGAGAGAGAGAGAGAGAGAGTCGAGAACGATGGCGGGTGGTGGAGCTCCTGGAACACAGATGTATGGAGATCTCTGTTGGGAGGTGGAGGTGGAACTCCTGGGACACTGCGTGGATGTTGTAGTGAAGAAAAGATGAGTACAAGAAGTGATGTGTGTGAAGGGAATGAGGCCAAAAAGAAACAAAGAGTGGGAAGTGAGGGTGATCAGGAGACCGAGTGGTGGGGGTGGGTGGGGGGAAAGGGGAGGGGAAGGAAGGGGAGAAGAAGGGGGGAGAAGAGGGAGGAGGAGATCAATGTACAAAGGAAGGGCTAATGATCCGAAGAGGCGAGGGTCTGAACGCTGATGGCGTTTTCAGGTTGCGGATCAGGTTTTTAATTGAAAGCTTCAACAATCGAGATGAAAGTAAAAATGACGCAAATCGTACCCGCAGATTCCGCACCCATCAAACCGCCGTCAAATTTACACAAGAGTCGAGCCTTGGAAAGATATCACAGAGTTTCTCTTCAAACTTGCATTCGCAGTGCTGAAGAGTTCGCCGAAACTTCAGAGAGTTATCAGGGAATGTGGTAGTTGACTTGAGTCTGAAACAGATTGGCAGAGCGCCTCCACTCTTCGAAAACATGAATCGAGATTGATGAGCTCCACTCGTCCGAGAGGCTGAAGCATAATGCCAGCTTGATGAGCTCCGCTTGTCTGAGGCACGATCACAGCTAAAAGAAAAAGGTGTCAATGACAGATGGCGGTTAACATGGACTTGAGCGGCGGATCGTAGCAGAGACTCAATTTCTTCTGTCTCTTCGAACCCCAAGATACTTCGGTCAGACATCAAACAGCAGTCTCGCCTGCTTCTGATTATGCTCCGACAGCAACTGTCCAATTCCTTTCACGAGAAGGAAGATCCAGCTTTCTCCTCTCTTTCATCGTCTTTACTGAGTGAGTTAAGAGTTTCTCAAGTGAGGCAACTGGCTTCACAAGTTTTTCTTCCAGGCCTGTTTTCTCTGAATCTCTGCCTCTCTTCCTTTCCGGCTCTCCCCTCAACTGTGTCCGTCCACAGTGAGGGAGGGGGGGGGAAGGGACTGGTTTTGCTGCATTTTTTCCCAGTTGTTTGCGCTTTTGCCTCTATTATCATATTCAGTTGCATCAGTCGATCGCACACAATGTGTGTGTCTCTTGTGGAACATGTCTCTCTCAGAAACTAAGATTAGTTTTTTGACAGCTTTTTGCCCATAAATTACATTAAAATTAGTTATTGCGAGCGCGGCAGAACTGGCCTCGTCTCCAGCATGCGGGGCGGCGTACTGGAGACCCAGAGGAAAAGTTGTTTGCTGCCCTTTCTTTTAGGCTTTTAGCAATCAATGTATTCATAGGGAATCATTGTTGATTTTGCAGATTTTTCCCGCTCCTATGGCTCTTTCGAAGCTTCTTCTTTTTGTAATATTTGGCATTTGAAAATTTGCCGTGTTACACGCGATCTTGTTTCCCCGATTTGCAAATCCCAAGTGCCATGGCATACTTTGGTCTTAGCCGAATAGCCGAATAGCCGAACAGCAGAATACTGCTGAGCACACGCGTGACTGATTATCATTACAAGTGAGGAAGACCTACGCCTCCAAAGTGTATAATAACGTCAATGATGACGCTGTGCTGCTTTTCTCTCATCCTTTCAAGAGTCAGAAAAGCCGGACGGTGTATCGTCGATCGTCAGGATACGTCCATTTGTTGTTGTTGTCATCGCCGTTGTTGTTGTTGTTGTTGTTGTTGTTGTTGTTGTTGTTGTTGTTGTTGTTGTTGTTGTTTGTTTTCTAAGTTTTCTCTTCTTTGTTTTTTTTTTCGAAGATTGCAGATTTTTTTTTTTTTGAACAGTTTGTGGACACGCTTTTGTCGTTTATTGTCCTTCATTGGGAAATTGACCTGGCAGAAGCTTGAAGCCGCCTTTGCTGTCGGTCACTATTAAGGGTGTACCCAGCGGAAAGTAGAGTTTGCACCTTAATTAGGGGGCCTCATTAAGCCCTTAACGAGTGGGAAAGGTGGCCAGGAGGGAGGAGAGGAGGGGAGGACAGAATAGGAGCAGGAGGGTGGAGGGCTTAATTAATAATTAGGGTCTAGCGAGTGGAGTGCTTTCCTTAATTAAGCCAGCCCATGTAATGTGCTTTCATAATGATTGTGTATTACTCTAATTTCCTACTGTGTGGGAGTTCTCTTACGTATGTGGCGTAAATCAAGCTTGGATTGTTCTACGTGTAGGAGGGATTCGCGATGCATCATCTCGCATTTCAATCCTAAGAGGTAATATCTCAAAGTATGTGGCCAAGGGCAAGAGCTTCGTAAGTTGGCAAGTGGCGATCCATAAGTTGTCGAAGGGCAAGAGCTTCGTGGCGAAGGGAAGAGCTTCGTGGCGAAGGGAAGAGCTTCGTGGCGAAGGGCAAGAGCGTTGTGGCGAAGGGCAAGAGCTTCGTGGCGAAGGGCAAGAGCTTCACAAGCTTCACGTGCGTTATCAGTTGGTAAGTGCAGATCCATAAGTCGTACAACTTGTACTATGTGAAAGGCTAAGTGGAGGTCTATGTGTGTGGATGAATTCAGTCACATTTCTACTGACCGAAACGGAGTACTTAGTCCTATGAATCCTATGAATATGGGTATACTCAGAAGCTTCAGTTGTGCTGCTATCAGCTGTCAGTGGACATCCATAAGTAGCCGTTCTATGCGGATGTGCAATGCGAAGTGGAGTCCTCTTCCTGATGAGGTAAGTTACATCCGCACTGAGTGCAACAGACTGATTCCCTTGAGATAAGCTACAATTATATGAATGATTATTTCAATGATATGATAAACAAGAGTACCCTGCCACCCTGCCCGTGACCGGCGTCCTCTTCCTGCATACAGATACTCCAATTTGATATTTCTTTCTGTAAATAACTTTCTTGAAATTTCTTGAAATTTCTTCGTCTTTTTTTTTTTGCTTTTTTTGTCCCTCTTTTTTTGGGTCCGTTTCTCAATTGATGCCAATTTGAAAATTTATATTTGTGAATAACTTCCTCGAACGTCCTTCGTCTTTCTTTGTTATTCTTTTTTTTGGGACAATTTGTCAATTTCCCAATTTACGTGTGTCATCCTTGCGCAGGGGCCGTTTTGCTAATCTTCATTCTCTGTATCGTTCCAATTTTAACGGATGTCGCAAAGGACTCTCTGTAAGCTTTTTTTTTTTTTTTTTTTTAACCATTTCTCGATTTATGTGTGTCGTCCTTGAAAGCGCAGGGAGGGGCCATGCTAATCTTCTCTTTCTCTGTGCAATCACACTTACGATTATTCAACTTGTCATGTATGCAAACAGCGAAACAGCAAATTGGCGACAGGCGCCCACTCAGTACTCAAGATATCGTATCCACATAAGAGTTCTCTTCAAACTGGCTATGGCGACTGAGCGCCCACAGAACTCACTGTTCGCACTCTGGATCACCCTGGATGTCCCACACGCAACACTCAGTATCACAMTTCACACACACACATGCTAGGCTACAGCTATGGCAGCGCTAGCTGCCACTACCTATCGCTGCACTCTACTCCTCTGCCCACTTCGTCTTCGGGCACTCTGCAGACCTCCTCGCACAAGCTGCTAGGCAGCGCTTCCGCATGGCATCCGCAGGAATGAATGAATGAATGAATGGACGCAGCCTCTTGATTTATACTTCTGTGCTGCATTGGTCTGCCTTGTGTCCCTGGCCCATGGTGCACACAGTTCCCCCCGTGGTACTTGCTGGACCGGACTGGTACTTTCTAGACATGGGCTTGCTTTAGTCACACCACTTGCCCACTTGCCTGCACCACTTGACCACTTGCCTGCACCACTTGACCACTTGCCTGCACCACTTGACCACTTGCCTGCACCACTTGACCACTTGCCAACCTTCTAGAAGGACTGCAGCTAGCCTTCTAGTCTATAGGTCTACGGATCGAATCCTGGCTACCTATAGACCTACGACAGACCTACCTACCACTGGCGGTTYTAHAGGTCGCAGGTTCAACTCTTCGAGTTGACGCAGGTATTGTACACAGGTAAGTTGGGGAACTAGGGATCGAGCCCTGGGATCTACCTCAGCTACCACGAATTGNAGGTCGCAGGTTCAACTCTTCGAGTTGACGCAGGTATTGTACACAGGTAAGTTGGGGAACTAGGGATCGAGCCCTGGGATCTACCTCAGCTACCACGAATTGATGAATACCGTTTCATCTGTATCGTTCCAATGTTAATGGATGCCGCAAAGGACTCTCTGTACGCATTTTTCTAATACTCGTTCGTTTTCGTTTTTCCTTCCGTGTTCCTTTTCCCCCCCTCTCCTCAAAAGAGTTGGGACCATTTCTCAATTTATCCTTGCCACATTCTTGGACAGGCTCCGTTCTAATTTTTTTTGTTTTTTCCCTCTATCATTCTAGTTCACCAGGGTTTGCCCAGCCGCGGATCCAGCGGGCAGCCCGGCGGGGCACTGCCCGTGATGGTACCCGGACTGCTGGGACTGGGACAAAAAAAATCAGAGCTTTCATTTTTATATATACTTTTTTGTCCCGTTGTTGCAACTTTGTACTACCATTCCAGTTTCAGTGGCTGTGATGTCCCGAAGGACCTGAAGGACCAGAAAGGAAAAAAGAACTGTGCTCTTTGGGACAGTTTGTGGTGCATCTTGGCGCCAGATTGGCGCTTTACAACAGGACAATGCAACACACAAAAGGAAACCTGTGCTCTTCTACCCTGCCCATCTGGCTGAATGGTACAGCCATGAACTCTGTTGGCTAAGTGGAGACCTGGGTTAGAATCCTGATGGCATCAGCTGAATAAAATAAAAATTATGAACAATCTGCGGCCAGTGAGTTCAAACTTCAATGATGATATAACTCTCAAGGCTCTGGGGGTCAAGCCCGTTGCCCTTTCAGAGAAAAATTCAAAAATGTTTTGTTTTGTTTCATTTTGCTCGCAAAGGTTGCTCGCCGGTTGCTCTGTGTTTTTTTTTTCTTTCCATTTGTCTAATTGGTTCTCACCGGTTACTCGGCGATTGCTCTAATTTATTTATTTTGTTTATTAAACTTTATGTCTAATTTTGCTCTCACTGGTTACTCACCTGTTGCACGCATTTTCGTTACCCTGGGGCCTGGATAGCGATCTGGGCATAATAATCTTGGGCAGCAGTGCACTTCCTTTTCCCCCTTACTCTGACACTTTTGGGGTCCTCTCTCTCTCTCTCTCTCTCTCTCTCTCTCTCTCTCTCTCTCTCTCTCTCTCTCTCTCTCTCTCTCTCTCCCCTTTTTTTTTCCCCCCCCCCCCCCCCCCCCCCCCCCCCCCCCCCCCCCCCCCCCCCCCCCCCCCCCCCCCCCCTCCCCCCCCCCCCCCCCCCCCCCCCCCCCCCCCCTGTGTGTGTGCGTGTGTGTGTGGGTGTGTGTGGGTGTGTGTGGGTGTGTGGGTGTGTGGGTGTGTGTTTGGGGGCTGGGGGGGGGGGAGATTTCTGTGACCACACATTTGTGTTTATTTTCTGTGCAGTATTTCTTCCTCACACAGCAGGAGGATGGCTTTATTCTCTGTTTCATGGGTTTCTCCAGTTTTTATTCGTTCTCTGTGGGCAGACGCCGACGGGGATTGATCCAAAGCCAGGGTGTTTATCTGCTGCAGGACTTAGTCTGCAACAGCCCGCCCTGGCGGTGATAACCTTTCAGTACAGCGCTCTGTATGTGGTTCATATGGTGGTCTATTTTCCTCCTCAGTCTGCTGCATCTGTCGTTCATCTGGCAAGGATGAAGGAGATGGGACTGTGATTGCAGCAGGTGTATGCCCAACATTGCGTGTGGGACATGCTAGGAGATGGTGTCGTCGATAATGGCATCGGGGATACCGCACGCAGTAGGGACACATACTTTCTATGACAGCTTCCTGGAAGCATTGACGACATATGGCATGTTGCTGACATGTCAGCAGGAAAGCAGGCTGAGTTCGCAGTTATTTAGGCATGGCATCATTGGCATGGCAAGGCCATGACGACATACTGGGCAACTAATTAGGGGGTGGGAGGGATAAGTACAAGACAAAGGGTCACAGTTTTCGCAGCAGAGGCTGGCAGTGACCATCCCTTCATAATGTTCGGAGCAGAGGCTTTTTATTTTTATTTTTATTTTTATTTTTTTGGAGGCTATGCCGTGGCAGAGACGGTACTGTAGCTGTGTTACCACAGAATGGGATGGCACAGCCACCATCCTCTGAAGAGGGTCCTTCACGCTTCGTGGTAGTAATAGTTAATATGTCCTGCTGTGTGCACCCTACCACCATAGTCCCATAGGGTCCATGGGACGATGAGTTATCTGCAAAGGTAACGTGATGTCGAATACAAGACTCGAACACACAAGCAACGGCATGGCAGGCTAACACCTAACCATAAGGTAAGTGGGCTGGGGTAAAGTGGAGCCCCAAGATGAGCACTTCACCCCACCCGAGCACGGAGATCCCGCGACACGGTGTACCCAACCACGCTCAACCTACACAGCCACACTGCCCGTAGTATAATCTCTACAGCGGTTACTGCATGAAAGCACGTGATGTCGAATACAAGACTTGAACACACAACCCACGGTTTGGCAGGCTAACACCTAACCATAAGGCTAAGTGGGCTGGGGTAAAGTGAAGCCCTAAGATGAGCACTTCAACCCACCCCAGCACGGAGATCCCGCGACACGGTGTACCCAACCACACAGCCTACACAGCCACACTGCCCGGCACTGAAATGACCTGGACGATGTAGGATGTACGCACAAATATTTGGATCGATGCCTGGCATGTGATTCTGTGGAGCGGGCTCGAATTGTAATCACCTACCCATAGGCCACAGGTAAGCACCAGGCACGTGGTCCTCTGGGCAGGTGGAGTACTGTCGTCTGGGCAGACAGCGCGATGCGATTCGCCTATCCTGGAAGACATGTAAGGGTTGCGATTTTAAGCGAGGAGACATACATTAATGGCATTGTACGCAAAGCTGCCTTGCTGTAGCACTATGATATCATCTGGTTCTGCAGGTTGTGCGGCAGGGGCACGGCAGGCGGAGATTCATTGCGGTCTTGACTATTTCTATCAGGTTCCTCTGCCTGTCTCAACTCCATTGACTCGAGTGTACGCTCCAGAGAGAGATCATCTTCTGTCGGGGGCAACATCAGGTGATCAGACGGTGGATCATTGTCATTGGGGGCGGGGAACACGCAAGGCGAGGTGGATGAGAAACGGGCAGGCCAGATGCAGGAAGTGAAAAATGATAAGCTGCACTTGCGCTCAGAGTGGCTGCTCGTCGCGCAAATGCTGTGTGTGTGTGTGTGTGTGACAAAAGATGGGTACTTGCATACAGGCCCTCGGATTTGTACAGAGGCCTGTCACATGCCAGGTTTCGTCATCCGTACATGCGCGGATGGGTATCCTGTGTACACGTCAGCTCCGTTGCACGCAGATTCCAAACACACAGTGGAAGCGTATGCCACCCAGAAAGCCTCCACCCAAGTACTCAGCGTCAACCAACCAGACTAAGAATTTGTGTAGGAATACTGAGGCCGCACGGTAGGTCCTATATGTACCTACTGTTGTCGCCAAACTCCTAGGTGAGATGGCGTGTGTGCTATGTAGCGTAGCTGCCGGGGATCATGCAATTGGAGTCCTAGCAACGCACCGGCTTTAAAAACACAATATTCCCTGTGTTAATCTGGCCTGGCCGAGGCACTCCAGCCAACCCCAAACCTTTGGCCATTGGATTGTCGCATTGTAAATTTTCATATCAAATCATATGAAAAGTGCCAAAAACTGAAAAACTAAAAATAAATAACAAAATT